GCAGGGACACGGGATCTGGCTGTGCAGGGACACAGGATCGGGCTGTGCAGGGACACGGGATCTGGCTGTGCAGGGACACGGGATCTGGCTGTGCAGGGACACGGGATCTGGCTGTGCCGGGACACGGGATCTGGCTGTGCCAGGACACAGGATCTGGCTGTGCCGGGACACAGGATCTGACTGTGCCAGGACACAGGATCTGGCTGTCCTGGTGCACGGGATCTGGCTGTGCAGGGACACAGGATCTGGCTGTGCCAGGACACAGGATCTGGCTGTGCCAGGACACAGGATCTGGCTGTACTGGTACATGGGATCTGGCTGTGCTGGTACATGGGATCTGGCTGTGCAGGGACACGAGGTTTCTCTGTCCTCAAACACATAGTGTGGCTGTCCCGTGACACAGGATTTTGTTGTCCTGGGACACAGGGTCTGGCTCTTCTGGGATGTGATTTGGATGTCCTGGGACATGGTTTGGCTGCCCCAGGACAAAGCTCTGCCTCTGCAGCGTGGTCTTGCCCCAGTTCTTCACTGCCTGATGTGCCTCTGCTTGCCAGGGACACCACGACAGGCAGGGACCACAAACTGTGGCAGATCAGTCTGGGATTTATCCCATTAGCCATGAGCCAGCTTCCCAGTAGTGATGCTGGGAAAAATCCTCAGGAATCCCCACGGTTTGTGGTGCTGTGCAGTGCAGGCAGTTTGGTGGCTCTTCAACCCCATTTGCAGAAAGAAATGAGGAGGTAAAGTAATTTTTGGACTTTCAAAAATCCTGTGATCAGGGCGGGAGACCTTTGGGAGCTGCTGGGGGAGCTCAGGGGTGCTGGGGGGTCTCGGAGTCGCTGTGCAGATGGAATTTAGCAGGGAAGGCGGGAATGTGAGTGTTTGCTTTGGGCAGGGAGGAGTTAAAAGTCCTGACTGTCACAGCAGGAGCCTGCAGCGAGGGGAACTCTCTGTGGATGGAACCGGGAATCCTGGGCTGGTTTGTACAAAAGGTGTTGGAGTAAGGAAAATCTCTTCGGATCCAGGTGTGAGCCTGGGGAAAATGAATTTCATACAATTGTAGAATTGTTTGGCTTGGGAAAGATCATCGAGTCCAACGTTAACCCGACACTTGCAGGTCTGCCACAGCTCCCAGGGGACAGGGAGGCTGGAAAACCCTCAGGCAGGGGTTCCTCATTCCTCCTGCTCAGCAGTGCCTGAGCAGAAGCTGCTGTCAGCAGGTGAATTACTGCCAGCAGCGGGAATTCCAGGGCCGGGGATGCAGGCAGCGTTTTGGCAGAGCTGGATGCATCATGACTGCAGTAAAAACCTTGTTTCAGTCGCAGGGTGCGCAGCTCCCCGCTTGTCGTCCTGCATCCCTAATGATGTATCCCACCCGATTTTCCTGCTACAATTCCTCTCTCCGGGGAGGAAGGCACACAGGATCTGTGCAGCCAGATCTGCCTGTGCTGGCCCTGGAGTTTCACTGCAATTCCAGGTGTTCCAGGAGAGCGGCAGTGCCCTTGCGAGCGGTTTCATTTCCACGCCAGCTTTTGCCTCAGGCCTGGCTGTGGTTGGGACGGGAGCTGCTCCTGCCCCCACACAGGCACAACAGGCTTGCAGCTCCCTGGCTTTAGCCTGGGGCTTTAGAGCCAGCCGAACTGCTCTGGGCTCCAGCACGGGCTGTCCTGCCACCCAGCCCAAGGTGCCGTGAGGATATCCCCATCCCAAACTCGTGGGGTACCCAAAGGCAGCGCTGGAGATGAGGAATTCCTGCGCTCACATGAGTCAGAGTGCAAAGCATTTCATTCCCGGGCCAGCAAACACCTCTTCCCTCTCAATTAGCGTGAAAACAAGGCTGAGATCCTCCCTGCTCCTTGCCTTGAAGCTTGGAGCAGCCCGGGGGAGCAGAAACCATGGCAGGACACAAATGCATCCTCCCCAGCCAGGGGTGCGTGCTGGGGGAGCTGCTCCGGCCGGAGCCCTTGGAATGGAGCATGGAAGCAGCACTTGGAGCCTGGATTGTGCCAGGCAGGGAGCGGCTCCAGCCCCGCTGACTCCGGGAGCAGCAGGGGAGGGAAGGGAATTTGGGGTCTCTGCTTGTTTGTGTTTAGCAGATCCTTTGGGAGCTATCCCTGTGGGAGGCTCAGGCACGCAGGTTGGAAAAGCTGCGGCTCTTTTTGTTTGTTTGTTTTGTTTTTTTCCTGAAAGGGAAACCCATTGTGCTGCGGGAGAGGCAGGCAGAGCCTCCCCCTTCCCTCTGGAGTGAAAAACCCTGTCCTCCAGCAGCATTTCTCGAGGGTTAAAAATAGGGAGAGGTTTAGCAAAGGGATATATCCAACCTCAAAACTGGGCTGTGTTTCTTGGCTCCGGGAAAAACACGCCAGGCTCGTGCCCCATTACTCACAACGGTGATGACGTAGCTTTAAAAACTTGTTGTTTGATGTTTGAGGGCTAAAAACCTGCCCAAAAAACAAACTCGGCTGAGCTCAGGTTCAATGAAACCTGGGCTTTCTTTATCTTTTAAACTGCGAGTGGTTGATTGGCTTTTCTTTCTTGGAAAAAGGAATTAATTTAGGTGAAATTCCTGTCTGGCACAATGCCTCTGCTGGCTGAAAGGGAGATTTAGCACTCGGCTCGGGATTGCTGATGGCTGGGAAAGCCTCAGGAAGCTCAGAAATGGTCCGGGAAGACCAGCCTCCAACCCGGAGCATCCCCTAGATCTGGTCTCCTCAGAATCACACTGATTTTTGGAAGAGATTTAGGATTGCTTTCAGTGGAGCTGCTCTTCATCTCGGCCGTGGCTGGGAGAGGGGGGTGAAAATGCCATTTGGTGATTTGGAAGAGAGGGGGTACGAAATCCTCAAAAAGAGTTTTCCCTTGGGAAAAAATGCGGGAGAAGACCCTGGGGGAGCAACAGTGAGCAGCAGCTGGCTCCTAGACGCTGTCCAAAGGCATTTCTTCATCCGCCTGCAGCTCTTTTCCTGGGAAAGGCAGAGCAGTGCAGGCACTTAGCAGAAGTTGACTCAGAGCGTGTCCCGCTCTCCCTGCCCTGGGAAGGGACAGGCTCCTGGCAGAGCCTAAAATCAGCAAAATTCCAGCCGGGAGCTCTTCCTCTGCCCCAGCTGAAAATGCTTCAGATGAGGCCCCACAAGGGGTTTGCTGGAGTAAAGTCCCAAATTCCTGCTGCCCGGGGATCCTTTTATATTCCAGTCCCGGGGGTGTAATGCAGCAGGAACAGCTCCCAGAGAAACGTGGCTGAGTGTTTTCTTTAGCTTGGCCTGTCCCTGTTTGTTTTAAAAAGGGCTTTTTTGGAGGTGCTGCCCGTACAGAATCCTGGGACAATGTTTTGGGAAACAGGAATGATCTGCCTTTAATCATTCTCAGAAGCAGTGGGGTTGTTTTGCTGCGAGGTGTCCCAGACTTGCTGGTGGTGGTGCCACAGCCCAGGTGTTCCCTTGCAGAGGATGCTGATGGAGAAGGAGGTGTGAGGCTGTACCTGTCGGCGCATTCCCGGCGTTCCCAGCACCGGAGCACCAGGGAGGAGCCCGTGGGCCAGCTCAGCTTCAACCCCACCGTGCGACACGTGGTCATCAACGAGCACAAGGACGTCACCTTCAACTGCTCCATCAAAGTGCCTCAGGAGCTGCTCCGGCCCGATGCCCCAGGAATTTCCCTCTGGAAGGACGGCAGGGAGCTGCACGTGCTGGATCGCATCGCCAGCAGCCACTTTGAGATCCCTGACGAGGAGGAGGTGGCCATGACCTCCACCTTCAGGTGAGTGCTGCCGGAGCAGGTGGGAAGGAGGGGTGGCCCGAGGGCCGGCTCCCAGGGAAGGTGGGAAGCCACCAGGCCTGAGGGGGTGTCCGTCCTGTCCGGCAGCATCCTGGGCGCCCAGCGCTCGGATAACGGCTCCTACGTCTGCAAACTCAACGTCTCCGGTGTGGAGGTGGTGTCGGATCCCATCCTGGTGCAGCTGGAAGGTGAGCTGGAGCAGCTGTGGAGTTGTGTCCCGGCTCAGCGACCGGGGAGCTGGAAACGGGGAATCCTTCGCTTCCCTGTGTCCGTGCAGGTCTCCCGCACTTCATCCGCCAGCCCGAGCAGCTGAACGTCACCAGGAACAGCCCCTTCAACCTGACGTGCCAGGCCGTGGGACCTCCGGAGCCTGTGGAGATCTACTGGTTCCAGAACAACATCCAGCTCAACCACAAACCTCACATCTCCCCGTCGGTCCTGACCGTGCCAGGTGAGCGGGGAGCGTCACTGCCGTGGAGCGTCCCTGCCCCGTGCCATCCCAGAGCCTGTCCCTGCCAGGAGGGGCTGTTCCCAGCCCTAGGGAGGCAGGAAGCTCCATCCAACCTGCTCTGGCTGCTGCCAGAAATCCCCTTCCTTGGAAGAGGGATACTCAATCGGCTCGTTCCTGAGTGAGCAGCGGATTTTCCGCCAGCCTCTGGCTGTGCCAGTGGGAACCTGGCTGCTCTCCTGGGCCCCTGGAATGTTGGTTGGTGCCCACTTTGTGTCTCTGGATGAGTTTGGGATGCCCCCTGTGCCCCTGTGCAGCTGGTGGGACACGGGCAGAAAGATCCTTGGTGTCCCATAAACCCCACTGGGGTATTGCTTGCTCTGCTGGTGAGGAGGAGGCCGGTGGTTAATTAGGAGCTGGGCTGTAATTGCCTGGCCTTGGCATGCAGTGGCCTTTAAAAGGCAGTGAAAGCCGGAAGAAGCGACTCACTCCTCTTGGACAGCCTCGCATCCGCCTGGCACCCGCTCGGTTGGGTCATCGGAGCTTCTCCCGGCCCGGGAGCCCCGGCACCCTGCGGCACGGGACAGGGATCCCAAAGCCGGGCTGGCCTCAGCCGGGCCGGGAGAATCCGGCCTCGGGAATTCCCAGCGCTCCCTCTCCGCCGTCAGCTGCGGGTCTGTGACACCGAATCATCTGACCGAGGCTCTTCTGCTTTCTGCCTTCCCCCTTTTGGAGGGAGAGCAGCCCCTTCCTCAGGGGCTTGTGCAAGGGACATCGCGTCCCCGCCGTGCACACCGTGCCGGGGGCAGCCGGAGCCTGGGTCACCCCCGAGCAGCGGAAGGGGCACGGGGGGAAGTGAGACCGGGCTGGGAAAGGAAACCCTGGGTGTTTGCTGCTGGGGAGCTGCCGGGCTCGGGATGGTTTGGGATATCCAGGGGCTGTGTTTTCCCGGCAGGACTCAGTGAGCCGGCGCTGTTCAGCTGCGAGGCCCACAACAGCAAAGGCCTGACTGCATCCAGCCCGGGCCAGGTCAACATCAAAGGTCAGCTCCCACTGCTGTGTCCGAGTCTCCCCACATGCCAGTGCTCATCCCTCAGTCCTGGAATTAAAACCCAGTGGGATCCGGTTGTAATGTGCTCGTCCCGCTTTGGTCATCCCAGCACTGGGATGGGGGAGGGAGCACCAAAATCTAAACCTGAAAGCCAAGCTGTCAGCTTCAAAGTAGAATTTGGAAAGGCTGCATTGCTCCTTTCCTTCCTTCCTTCATAAGCAGGGTGGTGCTCCATAGGAATTTTCCATAGGAAACAGTGGAAATTGCTGACATTCCTGATGGGAGCCGCTCCGGCAACGTGAGGAAGGTGTTCCCCAAAATAAATCGTGGCCTTTGAGCTGCCCAGAGTGGTCACAAATATAGAAACGGCCAAAATAGTCCTGAAAGTGACATTTTTGTGCTTCCCTATCCGGTGGTCCGGCACATCCGCAGAATTGGGATGTGGGGTCACAGGCCGAGCCCCGGGAGCCGCGGGGAAAAGCCACCACGCCGGGTTTGTGCTCAGGCTTCCCTGGCTTCTCCCTGCAGGAATTCCATCGGCTCCCGGCAGCGTGCGGGTCCTCAACAGGACAGCCCATGGAATCAGGATATCCTGGGAGCCGGGCTTTGATGCCTTCTCTGCCTTGAACAGCTGCAGTGTCCAGGTGAGCGCCCGGAATTCCCAGATCCCCACAGCTGCCCTGCAGGGATGCTCCGAGGCTTTGGTGGGGTTTGGCACGAGCTGCGCAGATTTCACGGAATCCTGGAATGATTTGGGCCGCAAGGACCTTAAAGATCATCCAGTTCCGACTCCTTTCCAGCACCTTCCTCTATCCCAGTTGCTCCAGCCTGGCCTTGGGCACTTCCAGGGATGGAGCAGCCATAGCCTCTCCGGGCAGCCCGTGCCACGGCCTCACAGGGAGTGTTTTATTCCCAATATTCCATCTATCCCTGCCCTCTGGCAGCGGGATGTCATTCCCCCTTGTCCTGTCACTCCACTCCCTTGTCCCAAGTCCCTCTCCAGCCATAAATTTACCCTGGAAAATCTCCGCTCCAGCTGGGAGAGAGGCGACCTTTGAAGCCAGGTAAAAGTGAAAGGAATTTCGGGGAAGAAAGGTACCAGGGCTAATATTAGCGCCGTGTCCTGCTGCTGCCTCCCAGCCGGAGCTTGGGAAGCGGGGTGGAGAGCCAAGGAATTTCCTATGACTTAACATTCACGGTCTGTCCGTAGGAAATGGCCTTTGAAAGTGGAAAACAGGAGAGGGTTTCTGGCAAAAACACAGCTGTGACTCAGCCCTTTTGCTGCTGTCCCCTCGGATAATCCCTGGGCCCACCGAGCCAGTGACTCATTCCCGAGGGCTGCAGCTGGCCCACCTGCCAATTCCAACCATTGCAGTTTGCAAACATCCCGATTTCCTTCCAGAACCCATGGATTTGATGGATTATCCTCAGAAGAGGGTTGAGGATCGGGCTGGGTGCTCAGGGTCCGGTCCCGGAGGCACCGTGTGTGTTCCTCTGCTCACTGCTCGCCTCCCTCAGAGCGTCTTGTGACAGCTTGGGGGTGGGGGTGGCATTCCCTGACTTTTTCAGGAGACAGGCAACCCCTCAGCTCCTTCCTGTAAGGAATGGGGAGCCAAGGGAAACCTGCCCTTCCAAATCCTGACGTTGGGAATGCTGCTTGGCTGGGAAGGGCGCGAGCAGGACGAGCGTGTGTCTGCAGCAGCACCGGCCTTGCAGTCTTCCAAAGATCTACTTGGGCATTGCTGGGAATTTTTCCAGGAAAACCTGAGGATGGAAGACTGTTCTTTTATAATTTGGCTGTAAAACAGATGCTGAGACCATCCTGGGATACCTTGGGGGGCTCTTTTGATTGAGCATAAGGATAGGTGTCCTGCCATCCCAAAATCCTGGCTGGAGGCTTTTCACAGGCTTGGTTGGGTTGTCCTTGTTCTTGCTCTTCCCTCTTTCCTCCCTCTCTCCCAGTCCAGGTAGTGCTTCCCACAAAATGAGAGGTTTCCTGGAAAGCTGCGATGCCTCCGTGGGGGCTCCACATCCATAAATTTGTCTCCCTGTGAAAAGCAGGACTTGTTTTTGGGATGTTGAATTCATCCGTGCTGCTAAATGTGACAAGGATGGAGCTTGGTCCCGTGACATCCCATGGAGATAAATCCCATTTTCCAGCCATGTGTGTTTTGTTTTGGTTTTTTGGGATGTGCTGCCTGGTTATTTTATTTGGGGCTCCTTCTGCTCCATGCCACAAGAAACAGCAAATCATCCCTCCCTCCTTCCCAACATCCCTGGAATGTTCCCAGCTCCACACCTGCTGGAGCCGTCTCCCCGTGCCCTGTGAATATCCTGCCATGAGCTTTCCCTGCAGAGCTCAAATGGGAGGCAGGGCTCTGGATCCTGTTTTCCAACATCTCTCCCTGCAGGTTGTTGCTGACTAATCCCTGTTTTTGGGCTGATTTTCCAATTAAAGGTCCAGGAAGCTGTTCCGAGAGGCAACGGCTCCCTTCAGCCCTTCCACACCTCGGTGCCTCCCCACGTGTATCACATCCAGCAGCTGGAGCCCTTGGAAGAGTACAACATCCGTGTTTCCTGCGGGAATGAGGTCGGCTGGTCGGCATTCAGCCCCTGGATAACGGCCAGCACCACCGAGGGAGGTAGGAAATGGGGAGTGAGGACTGGGAAGGGTTTCCCTGCCTCAATCCCTCTGGATGAGAGGCAGCTCCGGAGCCCAGCTTGCTCCTGGGGTGGGAAAGGAAACATCCCCGTTTTCCATGGACTTTTCTGGTTGAGTTTTCCATCAGATTCCCGCTTCTCCTCACCCATTCTCCCAGCTTCCCTCACCTCCTTCCCCATGCATCCCCACAGCTCCCAGCACGCCGCCGCGGAACGTCACGGTGTTCTTCAACGAATCCAGCTCCTCGCTGGAGATCCGCTGGGAGAGACCATCCCTGGAGAGGATCCACGGGGAGCTCCAGGGCTACCACATCTGGTACAGGTGGCACAACTCCGAGGGCACGGTGAGTCACCAGGAAACGGGGAAGAACGGTTCAATCCTGGAAAAATTCCAAGCAGGGACGTCCGGATGGGTTTTGGTGCTTCCACGGATTCTTCTGGAGCTCATTTCTTTGCTGTCTTGGGCTCTCGTGTGGGCTTCAAACCCCTCCTGGCCTTGCATTCCCTGGATTTTGAGCTGTTCCTTACTCAGATGGGATTTATCCTGCTGTAACCCACAGCACAGAATTCCAGAGCTCGAGGAACATTTTGGCCCAAAGGCCTCTGTGTGAGTGCATGAAATCACCTGGCACACCCTGCTTGCCTTTTCTAGGATTTGGGAAGTAGCTGCAGGGATTTGCTAGGGCAAGGCTGGCCCAGGCTCTGGGCAAAAGATCCCCTCCAGAGCCTGTGGATAACAGCAGGAATGGATCCAGCTGTGCTCTGGCTTCCTCTGTGCCAGGCTGGAAACGGTGACTCATCCCCGTTTTTTTGTCGGATGCTGCACTTTCTGTTCTCCTTTTGCTCCTCCGTATAGATCCAGCCTGAATGAAGCCAGGGAAACAAAACCATGGTCTTGTGACTCGGAATAAAAGTGCTGACAGGAGCTGTCTCTCTCCAGCTAAAGGCCAAATCCAGGCCTTGCCCTTTAGGCCCTGGGAGATTCGTTGCTGTTGTTGTTGTTTGTTAGCTTTTGTCCTATTTCCCAGCTTATGGAGTGAAATTTTTTTCCAGTTCTCAATTTTTCCATGAGTCTGAGGCACGAGACTGGAGTTCTGACTCCTCAAAAAGCTCCTTCTAAGGCTGGACTCGACAATCTCAGCAGTCATTTCTGACCTCAGTGATCCTGTGAGAGCGATTCCGTGAAATAAAGTCCCTGCACAGGATAAATCTGGACTGCCCCAAAATAACCACCGGTTTTTTGCAGGATAAAGTCGGGAAGACGCCGGATTTCGGTGTCACAGGGCCACCTGCAGGCCTCTCCACAACCAGAAAATTCCCAAAAGTTGCTTTATTTTCCTCCTTGACCAGCAGTCCTTGTTGGAGCCAAGGCTGCCTGACTTGGGCCGGGAAGAAATTCCTCAACTACCACAAAACTCATAAAATCCCGCTAAATTTGGCAGGTCAGGCCTGCTCTGTGCTCAGGGTCTGGTCTGTCCTCAGATGACACAGCAGGGCCCTGTAGGACTGGGAAGGATCCCAGTTTAGCCTGGTGATAGGGGAAGGATCCCATGTGGATACAAGGAGGAAAAAGGCAGGAATGTGGGAGCAGAGGTGACAGCAGCTCCTGCCATGGCCAGCAGGTGCCCACGCGTTCCCAGGGTGTTTCACATCCGTCTCCGTGGCTTTTTCGGGACAGGGAACAGAAAGTGGTTCCCTCTGAGCGGCTCTGATTCCCTCTCCTCACCCACTGATCCCCCTCGGCTCCTGCTTTTTCTGTGGGATCTGCAGGAAGGAGCCGGGTGCTGCTGGACACAGCAGCCTGCCAGATGTTTGGGCAGAGGTTTTGCAGCTGGAAATCAGCAGGGAGCAGCACTTTCTCGTCTGGAAACAACCAGGAAAGGATGGAATTCACAGGGAAAGGCTGCTGTGATTTTACCAAGCCTCCTGCCATGGTACCAGCCGAGGAAATGCATAAAAGGTTGGAATATAATTAGCTGGACACAAAAACCGCAGGAGGAAGAAAACACCTGCCCTAGGATCTGCTTCCAGAGCACTTGGACAATCCCACCAGGAGCACAGGGATCAGCGGGTGCTGAGCCTCACGGGGCTCCCGTGGCCACAGCAAAGGCTGGGGGTCACAGTCCATGTCAGCAGAGCCTTTCCCTTCCGTGCCAGCTCCTCCCCTGCCTCTGTCCTGGCCCTGGCCGCTGCTGCTGTGGAGCGGAGAGGGCCAGAAAGGCTGGGATTGAACGGGAAGCGCCGCTCAGCTCCGCTCCCGATCCCATCCGGCCCTCGCACACAGGGCCATTCTTCTCCCTAAATAGCCGGGTGCTGCGCTTCCTCCGGGCTGGGAAAGCAAAGCAGCTCCAAAGGTTGCCAAGGGGACAACTCTCAGTAAATCCCCTGGTTTCCCTGCCTTCCCCAGGCCAGCAGTTTCTTGCTTTCCTCCCTGCAGCAGATTGTCTCGGAGGAGGCCCGGCTGAACGGCAGCGCGGCCGTGCTGCCCGTGGTGGCCACCAACGCCACCTGCTCCGTCCGCGTGGCCGCCGTCACCAAGGGGGGAGTGGGACCTTCCAGCGCTCCCGTGGAGATCTTCATCCCTGCCGGGGGTAAGGAGGTCCAGGAGGCCTTTTGGCATCTCAGCACCCTCCTTCCGATGCGTTCCCCGTCAGCCGAGGATCCTGATGTGGGAGCAGCAAAGCCTCACTCCTCATTCCCTTTATTTCCCCCCGTGTAACCCTCTGGGCTCCGCTGAGAACCCCTGGGAATTCCTGCCCCAAACCCCGGGTGCTGCAGGCTGACTCTTTCACCAGCTCCATTAACAGGATATTTTCTTAGGATTAATAACCTCAGCCCCCTCTTCGACTCCAGCCTCTGGGAATGCCGACTCCTTTGTCATAGCCCTGGGATTTATCTGCGGGACAATTGCCGTCGGAGTCCTCCTCTGCTTGTCCGTGGTCATCCAGAAACGATGCGTGGAGACAAAATACGGGTAAGGGGATGGGAAACAGGGCGGCTCCCAGCCCCTGCGGGGTTTGGGGACGAAGATTCTGTCCTGGGGAACAGATGTTGTTACCACAAATGACGTTTTTTGTGCCCGTGGTGAGGGACTACGTGGGTTTTTCCTTCCCCTCCCTTCCTTAGCTCAGCTTAGTTCACCTTTTGCTCACTACTCTTAATTTGAAAAGGGAAGTGAACTCGTGCAGCCTGGTGGGGGGAGGTGTTTTGGCACAGAAATGAGAGAGCAGAGGGTGTCACTGGTCACCAGAGGGTGATCTGGACCCAAGGGAGTGTCTGGAGCTGTATCAGGGGAGGTTAGGCTGGATTTTGGGAGAAGATCCTTCCCCCAGAGGGTGCTGGCACTGCCCAGACTCCCCAGGGAACGGGCATGGCCCTGAGGCCGCCAGGAGCATTTGGACAGCGCTGCCAGGGATGCCCAGGGTGAGATTTTGGGGTGTCTGTGCAGGGCCAGGAGCTGGACTGGACGATCCTGGTGGGTTCCTTTCAACTCCATGGTTCTGTGGTTCCATAATATCCCATGTCCTGGAGAAACCCTCCTGCCTCATCCCACGCCCGGCTTCAATGGCCCAGCATTGTTTAAAAACACGGACAAAGGGCTGTTCTCTCCTGCAACAGCCCAGCGCTCCTCACTCATCCTCGTGACTTCCCAAGTGCTGTTTAACTGCCCCTGCTCCCACTTTGGAAGCTGGTACCAAGTGAGGGTCCCTTTCCTAACTGGTTATTGCCAGTCTTCCCCTGCTCTGCAGCATCCTGCCCTGGCTGTGTTTCCCAGAGCTGGACTCTGCAGGCCTCCAGCAGCATTCCTGCTCCTCGAGTAGGAATGAGTATCCTGCTTCCTCCCCAAAGGAGGAGTTCCTCCCGTGACTTGCTCCTTGATGCTTCAGTGGTGTTTGTGGAGCTGTTGTTTTGCCCAGACGTCGCAGGCGTGATCCAGGAAAAAGGAAATGGAACATGAATTTCCCCTTTTCCTGCGGATCCCCTGGGCTCCTGCCCCTGCCACGCCGCCTCCTTCCACGTCCAGGCACAGCAGATGTGTTTGTGTTCCCTCAGGAATGCCTTCAGCAGGAACGACTCGGAGCTGGCAGTGAGCTACACTGCCAAGAAGTCCTACTGCCGGAGAGCCGTGGAGCTGAGCCGTAAGGACACGCTTCTCTCCCTCTGCGAGGGGCTGGAGGGGGAGCCTGGCGGCAGCTGCCTGAGCTGCTGTCCCCCTCTCCTGCAGTGGGAAGCCTGGGTGTCAGCAGGGAGCTCCAGCAGAAGCTGCAGGATGTTGTTGTGGACAGGAATGCCCTGAGCCTGGGAAAGGTCCTGGGAGAGGGTGAGTAAAGCTTCTGTCATCCCAACCTCCTGCCACGGGCAGGGGAGCTCTGTCAGCCCAGCTTGTCCTCCTGTCACAACGTGTGACAATTCCTCCTGTGAGGAATGAGCCTTTCAGCCTGGAGCACTCCAGATCTTGGGGATCTGGTGATGTCCTGGAAGGTGGTGCTTGGGATGAAGGGATTCCTTCTTCCCTGTGGTGCAGGGGAGTTCGGGTCCGTGATGGAGGGACGGCTCAGCCAGCCCGAGGGGCCCCCGCAGAAGGTGGCTGTGAAGACCATGAAGTGTGAGTTGTCTCCCTGCCCCACGGGACCTGACGTCTGTCCCACTGGACACCAACATTCCCAGTGCCCCTCTCAGGAGCGGCATCCTGCCGCCCTTTGGGGGCTTTAAAGCCCTTCCTTTCTCTCTGCTTCCCAGTGGACAACTTTTCCCAAAGGGAGATCGAGGAGTTCCTCAGCGAGGCGGCATGCATGAAGGACTTTGACCATCCCAACGTCATCAAGCTCCTGGGTACCGTCCCTTGCCGCCCTCCAGCCGGGCTTTGGGTGGAGCTGGATCCCTTTCCCCGGGGCGCTGTGTGAGTTGTCCGTGTTTCCCAGGGGTGTGCATCGAGCTGAGCTCCCTGCAGGTGCCCAAGCCCATGGTGATCCTGCCCTTCATGAAATACGGGGACCTGCACAGCTTCCTGCTGCGCTCCCGCCTGGAAATGGCTCCCCAGGTAGGGAGCAGCGGGAGCAGAGGGTGGGGTGGGATCGAGGTGGGAGGGGAATCGCCCTCCGCAGCTCCTGCAGGCTCGTGGGTTAAGGAACGGCACGGTCTGAGGGACAGGAGCTGGTCTGCTGCCGTGGGCTCATCCCAGGATGGCAGCCCTGGACAGGGAAACCTTTTGGATCGACGCCGTGCAGCCCCCACCTTCCCTCCCCAGTTTGTGCCCCTGCAGACCCTGGTGAAGTTCATGGTGGACATCGCCCTGGGCATGGAATACCTGAGCAGTCGGAACTTCCTCCACAGGGACTTGGCAGCTCGGAACTGCATGTGAGCCTTTTCCCCTGCTCCATCCCACGGGGCGCACCCTGTGTGTTTTCCCTCGGTTTGGAGTCACAGCCTGGCGCGTGTGGCTGTCCTGAGGCCGCGTGTGTGTCCCCAGGCTGCGGGATGACATGACGGTGTGCGTGGCAGACTTTGGCCTCTCCAAGAAGATCTACAGCGGCGATTACTACCGGCAGGGCCGCATCGCCAAGATGCCGGTCAAGTGGATCGCCCTCGAGTCCCTGGCTGACCGTGTCTACACCACCAAGAGCGATGTGGTGGGTCCCGGTGCCGCCGGGCCGAGCCGAGCCGCGCCGCGCTCCTGTCGCTCCCCAGAAGCGCGGGAGCCGTGGGAGCGGCCCTCGAGTGGGCCGCTGGCCTCCCAGCTCATTCCCGGGTTGGGGAGCGCCGCAGCTCTGCCCGTTGTCCCTCGGACGCCAGGCGGTGACCTTTCCCCGTGAAAAGGTTCATTCATCCCTCCTGGAAGGGTCCCCTGAGCCTCGGCCTCTCCCTTTGTGCCGGCAGTGGGCATTCGGCGTCACCATGTGGGAGATCGCCACGCGCGGGATGACGCCGTACCCGGGCGTGCAGAACCACGAGATCTACGAGTACCTCTTCCACGGGCAGCGCCTGAAGAAACCCGAGGATTGCCTGGATGAGCTGTGAGTCCCGGGATGCCAGCTGGGAAAATGGCTTTTCCTAGGAACGAGCCCCTCAATGGAAAGCCTGGAGCAGAGCGTGGGTCAGCATCTGCTGAACTCCAGGCAAAAAAATCCCAACAAATGTCCTGAGGGAAACAACGGCTTTGTGGGGCTGGCAAGGTCACCAGGAGCAGTCAGTGATGGGACTTGTTAGTATTTCAGTTCTTGAGTTTTGGGTTTGGTTTGGCCGAAAGGTCCTGGCTGGTGATGCTCCTCTTTGTCCCACAAAACTCCCTCTAGGGCCCTTCCTTGCCTCAAATCTGTAAATCTGTGTCCCCCTGGAAAAGGGAAACGCAGAACACACAAACCTTTGGATTTCTGAGCAGCTCAGCAAAGGCCTTTCTTCCAAACTTCTTTCCTGAGTTTCTCCCCCAGTGCCATTAGAACTAAAAAATGCTTTAACCCCCCATGGCCGAGAGTCTGAATCCCAAGCGGATAAACAAAGTCAAACATTTCCTAAAAGGCTCCTCTCCACTGCCTGTTCCTGAAGGAAGCAGTGCAGGAACCTCTAAGAGTCGGGCCTGCTGGAGGGCAGAGAGGCTGGCAGGGATGTTCTGGGAGCTTCCAGGGCTCCCTGACATCCACACACAGGGCTGGGATGTTCCCAGGGAACAGATCCCAGGGAACAGATCCCAGGGCTGCACTGGAACACTTCTCACATTCTAACAGCAGCTTGGGCTGATAAATCCATGCCCTTGGGAAACAGCCAGAGCAGAGAGAGTTGGTTTCACTCTTGATTTGATGGGAATTTCAAGGCTTGCCCAGCTTGGAGGGAAGCTGGGAATTGGCCCCCATACCTGCCCTGATCCAGAGAAGTGCAGGCTGCCTGGAGAAGCTGTGGCTGCTCCATCCCTGGAAGTGTTCAAGGACAGCTTGGAGCAGCCTGGGATGCTGGGAGGTGCCCCTGCCCATGGCAGCAGGGTGGGACTGGATGATCTCCAAGGTCCCTTCCAAACCAGACCATCCTGGGATGCCGGGATCCTCTGTCAGCCGCACTCCTCTCCCGGTTTCCAGGTACGAAATAATGTCCGAGTGCTGGAGAGCCGACCCCGCCACCCGCCCCACCTTCTCCCAGCTCAAAGGCCAGCTGGAGAAGCTGCTGGAAAACCTGCCCAGCGCCAAAGCCTGCGGGGACATCATCTACATCAACACCGGCCTTCCCGAGCAGAGCCCGGACTCCACGCAGGATTCGGGCTTCCCGCAAGCGGACTCGGATTTGGACGCCGCGGAGGCGTCGGAGCCCGGCTCGCCCGGCGCGGAGGCGGCGCTGGTGGCCGTGGATGTGCATCCCGGCGAGGCGTGGGACGCCAGGTACGTGGTGGAGGAGCAGCTTGGTGGCCCCGTGGAGGAGCCCTACGTGCCGCTGCTTCCCTGCCGGGGCTCGGAGGCGGGCAGCCGATGGAGCCAGGCCGGCACTTTGCCGGTGTCGGAGCGGCCGCGGGCCGGGAGCCGCGGGGAGGACTCGGAAGCGCCGCTGGGAGCGGTGTGAGCGGCAAGGACACAGAGGGAATATTTTAATAAACGCTCGTCTCTTTTATTTATTATCTCCTGCACGGTTTTGCTGGCTCTCCCCGGGAGCTCGTCCCTGGGCTGAAGTCCCGGGGGTTTGGAATTAACAGTGGAATTATTTTGCTGTAATTATTCATCTTTTCCAAAAGGAGCAGGGCAGGGTGGGGCGGGTGGTGCTGAGGGGGCAGCTGGCCTTGCAGGGCCCGCTGTTTTCCCCCTTTTTCATGGCCTGTTAAGGTCTGTGGGACGGGCAGCCCCCGGGATGGTGAGGGCTCCAGCTCTACAGAGCCCGCTGGGGGATTTGACACTCAGGAGATCCCCACGGGAAACAGCGGGTGCTCCCACATTCCCTTCTCCCGGCCGGCTTTCCATCCATCCCATCCCCGTGCCGAGGAACCACGGCTCCTGCTGCAACGCCAGGAAAACGGGAGCCTGAGGGGGTCCCGGGATGGCTGGAGCCCCCCAGCCATGGCCTGGCCCTTCCCTGCTGGGGGGAATTCTGCTGCTTCCACAGCTGGGGCTGCTGCGCAGCAACCGGAGCTGGAGCCAGCACCTCTTGCCTCTCCCTGGGGGAGACCGGGCTGGGAACGGGGGGTGCAGGAGCTGGGGAAGGCGTTTTGGGTCTGGGGAAAGGGATGCAGTGACTGAGATGGGGTGCAGGGCTGGGAAAGGGTTTCCCTGCCTGGCGCGGGTGGTCCCGGGGCTCACAGGGGCTCCTGCACGGTGCCCGCAGGTCCCGGCAGCAGCAGAAACAGCTTTGCTGCGGGAAAAGGCCCCAACCGCTGGGGGTGGATGCCCGCAGCACCCCGCTGGTGTCCCGGGGGATGGATGTCCAGAGCCCGGCCGGTGTCCCGGTGTGCCGGGGGATGGATGCCCGGAGCCCGGCCGGTGTCCCGGTGTCCCGGTGTCCCGGTGTCCCGGTGTCCCGGTGTCCCGGTGTCCCGGTGTACCGGT